CTCGACGCCAAGTGAAGAGTTAATATTTAATTCGCTGAACTAAGAAAGAGTATAAAGAGTTCGATATGACGCCACGCAAAATATCAATAACACTACGCTCGTTGGGTTAAGCTTCCCTGTAACTTAGAAGGAATACGTAAGAGTATCGGGAATATTCGTCTAGACATGTGGTTATCGTGACGAGTCGTATACGTAACGGCTAATACAATTACGATTAGTATAATCTTTAATCACACAAGCCCATCATGAAGCGATGCTGAGAAGAACCCTCAGGAATAGCCCATCGCGTTCACAGACTTCAATGGCGCTAAATCTGAGGGGGAGTTTTGGGTGCAGGCGGAAGAAGAATAGGCGGAACAGACTGATTGCAAATGGGCTTGGAAGATACCAGTTTTTGCGTTAAGGCATATCACAGATAATATGTGAGTATTCCGTTCGAAACAAGTGTGCATACATGCGTACTAACCCACCTCAGTAGTGCTGTGAATGCTAGCCGATCGCTTATGCGCTTTTTTTGTTTCGAAGAATTTGGCACATGATCTTGCTATTGCTACTCCCGCATTAGACTATAATTATTCGAGTTTTTGTATGAGTTTTGGGTTTTGTGTATTAATCGAAAATTGCAATAATACTGCACCTTCAGCCACGTAAAGTAAAAGCTCTGATTGGATTAGGCGCAGCCCCAAGTTGATTTAGTTGAGCCAAGCTACCAATGAGAAGATTGCAATATTGAACGAAGTCAAGCTCCATCCCGGTTTCAGGCACTTTGCCATGTGTGCCTTGAAGGAGCATTCCAATACGCACGACTGTTCGCATGAATTTGCGTTCACCCCGTACGCATGATCTTTGAATGGAGTCTCTTGTCCTCACGCTCATTAATGTCTTTTCCTACACGTAAAGCTTAAGCTTATCTTCAATGGGTTGAGATTTTAGCCAAACCCGTTGTGATGCGAATTTTTGTTATGGAAATGGCGGGATCGACAACTGCATTATTATTATAGGCATATCTTGACTGCTTTTGAGGGTGACTTGGATATACTTTTATTGGAAGCATACGATGGAGGGCTTCCAAGTGTTATCGTTGCATAAAACATGCAATCTTATACGGATGCAGTCTCATATGGAGCCCGAAACATGCAAACACAGAATATGATGGATCGCGGTCACAAATCGTTAATTCATGGGTAGACACTTGCAATTCCATGCAATTCGAATTTTTTTGATACGTTCCGTTGTCTTTGTAAATATCTTAGAGGGTTAAACAGCTGTTAGAAAAATAACAGTCTGGAAGTTTACTTATGTCATCTTGCGTTTGAATGCAATGAATACGATGTTCCAAATCTCGTAAATTTATAAGATATCAAGATGTGTTTGGACAAACGGATGCTGCAACGAAATGTGCAAACTTAAAATTCATGCGTCCAGTAAACGCCGTATTCAGGAAAGGAGTAATGTTTATATCGTCCGATGCAACTGGGGTTCAGGAGATACAAATGGAGGTCTTTCGCAGACGAGTGGAGGTCAGAATCGTCTTGCGCGGATGATTAACTTGATGCTAGGCATTTTGATTTCTGTGGGGATGGTTGTTTTATTATCGTAATAATTTTAATTAATAGAAATTTTAGGATGGATCTTACGATGTTATAATCGGAATTAATGTAAAATAATAGAACTATGCCAAATGTCACGGGGGAGCGGAATGACACGTGACTCGTAAGGATTTAACTTTCTTCAAGCGGAGCGTAGCGCCTCCTACTAAGAGTTGAACCAGACTGACAGTTAGTGACCTTTTCGCTTAGGCTTTTACGCTGACGGTACTTCCTTTGCCGGATCGCGACTAGATAGTTAATTGCTCTCGAGATAATTAGTAACGACTATCTGTCGATGGATTAAAATACACCTAATTATTAACGCGTTATACTCAACAATTAATTATCTTAATTCGCTACTCAGATAATCGAGGGACAAGAATCGATTATCCTTCTCCGATATAGGGATTAGTGGTTTTATCTATATCGAATTATTCAGGGAAATACGTAAAATGGTTTATATTCAGAGTAAATGCGATACTCGTTTATTTATAAGATAATAAAGGAATCGGATAGTAATATTAAATGGAACTTTTGAACATTCGAAACACTGAAACACACCGAAACTAGCTGACTTCTACGCTGCTTTTATATCTTCTGAACTATTAATTGTCCTATTTTTAGCAACGTTATTCTAAGCTACGATTATTGGTTTGTTACTTTTATTACTACTTTGCGTTAATCTTCTTTCAGATACAGTTTTTCGTCTAAACTCTTATTACCCTTGATATAATAATTATTATCGAAATTCTTATAATTGACAATCTTATGTCGGATGATGACATTGACACGTTTGAGTTAAATCTACCAAATTTCGAACATAGCGAGTGTGATGGGATTATAAAGATAAAAAAGAAGAGCAGAGTAAAGGAAAGTCTGATTGATCAGGTCCAGTCGAAAAATGACACCATACATTATTGTCACTAAAGTTAATGGGATTATACGACATTGTGGAAAAGTAGGAGGGGGAAGCCAGAAAAGGTTTTGGCGTATGGGAAGTTGATAGATAGGCCGTTAAAGAAATGAAACCGATTGGAATTGTTATTCCCATTTTATGTCTGATCAAGTCTTTGCATTTGAGCAGACAAAAAAAGCATGCGAAAAGCAAAATTACTGGTCAATGCTGCGTACTCTGTCATAAATACTATTGTATATTTCATCGCGGAATGAGTCTGTTGAACAGTGCGGTGGATTTTAACGACTATTGAGACTGTTAATCTACATCGTTAAGAACGAATTTGCGACTTAGTAAGAATGCCGATAGTGCGTTGATTTAGTTACAAATAAGCATAAATATATTTATATTTCTTCTCATTATACAACTATAACCACGTTATTAGTTATGCCATATCCATAAAAAAGGAGACATCCGGAAAGTTACGTCCTCGGAGATCATCCGAAGTCACGGGACTGCAAGCTCAACGTTGTTGTTCACTATGAAGTATTCCATAAAAGATTCTGGAATGTTTGGTTCCGTAGAGTGATTCTTATTCACTATTCGACAAATTGACATTCTTTCCTTGATCAATTGCCTGTATAAAGTCGAGTAAAATAAGTCTGTGGCATATAGATATCAGTCTTACTGATTAAAATAAGTGCTCGACGATTTACTTACTCTGAAGGTTTTTTCATACCGTAAAAATAATTTTTGGCTTGCAAAGGGGTCCTGCCCTCTAAATCTTTAATAAGAAGATTCCATTGATTACCGTAGTATTTATAATTCTCTTTCAAAACGTCTATTTCCCATTTCTCCAAAGGTGCTTTCTTAACTGTAAAAAGAGCAATAAAGTTGTAATTATTTGTATGCTAATATACGTACAACAAGAATACTTGATTTGACAGGTAGAGATATATGATGTTCTTACGTTTCGGGTTGGCATGATTAATCCATCTGAATATAAATCAAACAATAAATTTTAGAACTATAACGAAAAAATAGTTCCGACAATAAAGTAAAACCCACCGATTATAACATGCTCTATTGTCTCTTCCTGGTAACTCTTTTGCAATTCGCGACCAACTTCCTTTATATTTGTTGTAGTAAAAACGAAGTAAATCATCATCCTAGTAGCATAACGATGTCTTTAGTTTAAACATCATTAGCGAAAAGGTGGAACGTTGTACAGAACACACCTTCGCGGACCATCGTCTTCGACACCTAGGACTTTTATCGTGTACGTCAACCGACTTTAATGATTTCTTAACAGTACAGGCCATTAGGGTAAAAAGCAAGTTAGAGATTGGACGGTGAAGAAAGAGAAATTCCGAACCATAATTGAGACCACAATCCTTTTTGAATTCAATAACATGCGCAGCAGACAACGTTACGCAAACACAGATATATATATTAAGAGAAGAAGTGTGTATAATCCGAGCAGGACAATGAAGTTGAAACGGCAGTGTTTATTGTTTCCTATCTGTATTGTTACTTACTGTGAATTCTAACTGTAAACCAGTAAGACGATTGTTATGATCAGTATGTCAACGACGTTATATTGCAACTCTAATTAGAAGTGAGGTTTTCTCTAATTATCTACTTCCTTGCAAAGTTTTTCGTAGGGAATAAATTGAAAGTAAAACGCAGCAGTAGGTTTAATCTTAAACTAGTTAGTGTCTTCTAAGCCTCCTTCCATTGTGATTAGTTTTTTGGGATTACTATAAATATTACGGACTTGTTGGCACCGAGTTCCGGTTTTCCTATCATGTGCAACGTAATGGTACAGTATCTATAAATTATATTATGCCTGTCGTTTTTATGTCTTCTGTCGTTGACCTTGGATTTAACTATTTTCAAACGGAGCTGCGGCTTCTACTTTTCGTTAAATACAATGACAGTTTACTCCTCACGGTCCTGTGTCGATCGGTAGACACTAATCCTAATCTATTCCCTTCCGATGGGATTGATTCGGAAGCTTATAATTGGGGGTTTATTTGTATCTATCTAAAATGCATTCCACTTGAGGAATAACAATTGCAACGCCGCGAGAGTATCCACGGGACAAGAAGCGAATATTCCTAATCGATATAGGAATTAGCGGTTTCATAATTAATTAATAGTAATTATAATGTATTTAATGTATTTCAGACTATAAAGAACTACTCATTTATCAGAAAGGAATATTGATTGGTCATTAAAAAAACATTATGTGAACATGAGATGCCAGTTTGTGACACTATTCCTTTATCCACCATCTTCTTTGTTTAGCATTTTCCCCGACCCGAACCACCTGATCGATAGTCACGTGATACAAAAGCTAACCTGACTTCAAATTTATTTATTCATGAATATCGTTCTGCATAATCGCGTTATTAGGTAGTCTGATTCGTATCTTAGACACTTGAAAGATCGTATTTTGTTCAGAAATGTACTTTTTTATTTCAACGGCTTATGGGGTTTATGAAAAAACTCCTTAATTGCTATTTGGAATTTGTGCCTTTTCCCCAAACACCAGCAAACTCATTCCGCGATGAAATTGTCGTGCCGACTACTGCGGGAGAGCAGAAAGTAATCGACACTTGGGATTTAGCTAGTATTGACGGAGCGTGGCGCCTCCTCCTTCTAGTCAAATATCGAGGGTACAGTTAGTGACCTTGTCAATGTCAAGGCTTTTCACTTACGGGCTTTTTCACCGTAGAATGACGTTAATCCTAGATAAGTAATCGCTCTCGAGTGTATCGTCGGTTATTATCGAGGGATTATT